TGAAAGTAATATAAACATTTTTCAATGTTCTGGGTAACCAGTTTATCAAGTGTATGAGACTTATTATTTAAATAACTGAAACAATTTGAAAAAATTCATCAAGATTCCACTTCAGAATTCCTATACCATACTTGAGTTTTTTCATTTTAATTTAATGAGTAGTTCCTCCCCCTTTAATTCTTACTAGGTAACAAGTTGCATAATGCTCTAGGAATTTCATCTTCTATTGTGTACACTGGGATTCAGCAAATTTTGATGAATGGATAGTAGATACAGTGGAAAGGTCACAGCTAGAACAGGAACCTGAACATTCATGATTCAGAAACAATTCAAGTCTGACTACAATTTTTGTCTTGTTGTGTTTAGGAAGAACCAGGTACTTGCATGGCTCAGAATCATTTGGGGAGCTTCTTTTGTGTGTGTGGTATTACCATTTTTTAAGTTGTTTGTTAACCCACTAAAATCTTTGCACTCCTTTGAACATTTTCCTTCCTCTTCCCCTCTTAATCTCGAACCTCACTTCACTTGTTAGTGTCCACTGTTTTTTGTTTTTTTTTTTTATAATATAATAGTTTATTTTTACATCTATTTATCCTTGCCTTCACTATTGTGGCATTGGGTGCTCTATCTTTAAAGATGTCGCTGAAGTGTATGTCTTGTAGTGTTTGGCCCATTTTTGCTTCCAGGTATTTTATGGTTTCCGTTCTTATGTCTAGGTTTTTAATCCACTTCGAGTTGATTTTTGTGTATGGAGTGAGGTAGTGATCTAGTTTCATTTTTTTTGCATGTAGCTTCCCAGTTTTCCCAGCACCATTTGCTGAACAAACTTTCTTTGTTCCATTGTACTTTCTTTTCTCCTTTGTCAAAAATTACTGTCCATAAACTTGTGGGTTTATATCTGGGTTTTCTATTCGAATCCACTGGTCTGCATGTCTATTCTTGTTCTAATACCAAGAAGTTTTTTATTATTATGGCATTGTAGTATAGCTTGAAGTTTGGGGTTGTAATGCCTGCATTCTGTTTTTTCTTAGACATGAGGGTTTTGGCTATTTGAGGTCTTTTGTT